ACTCAAGACACAGAGCTGTCACAAGAAAGGGAAAGCTCCATTTCCCTTTTCTGCATTTCCCCACTTCTGGCCACAACTGCCAACCACAAGCACTACCAAGTGTGAAAGTTGGCTTGGTGCTCGGACAATTGTGGCTGTGGCAGAGGAAGTGTGGCCAGCACTCTGGGGTGTGGCCAAGCTTCTGCTCTGTCCCTGACAGCTGTGGCCTTGGGCAAGCCAGAGAATCTTTCTGAGACTTGACTTTCTTCTCTGGACAATGGAGTTGATAGGGTCAGGTGCACAGCACCTGCCAAATGTGGGAGATAGCACACAATCAAACAGCTACCAGCAGCTGGGAGCCGTTACAAACTCATGGTGAGCAGCTTCAAGTGGTCACACTGCATGGCCTGAGACTGGTGCAGTTCTCTAGAGAGCTTGTGACTTGCTCACACCCCATTGGAGAAAGAGCACCAGAGGGAAGTCCCTTGGCTCATTCTTTACACTCATCACCTCCTCTTTCTTCTATTTGTCAGGTGATTGTCCCTGCCGCCACCAGAGATGCACTCTATCCTTTCTAATCTGGGTCCCCTCCCCTTTACTCCATCAATAATCTCACTCCTTGAAAACACCTCTCTCCATATCACCAGTTCCTGCCTTCTACTGGCCACTGCTGTCAGTGTACAGGCAGTTTTGGATCTTCCATATTTGGATGGAACCCTCCGGTGACTCCTTATTCCCTTCTAGCCAATGTTGTGTTTCTGTGTTTCTAAAAAGTCACTGCTTGTCCTCTTCAATACTGGCTCCTACTCACTCCCCATCCATTGTGATCCAGTCTCCATTCCCAGCCAAGACTGCTGTCAGCAAGCTTGCCCCAACTTCCTCATTCCAGCTCCGGTGGGCATCCGTCCTCATTTTGCTCATCCATTCGGCAGCACACCATATAGCTGATCTCTCCTTCCTCCTTCTCTGTGCTGGGAACTGAACCCAAGCGTGCATGCACGTTCCTCCCCCAGTCCTCTCCCTTCCTTCTTAAAATACTCTCTTCTGTTGGATTTGGGCCACACCTGGCTTTCCCCCTCTCTCCCTGGCCACTCCAAGTTTACTTCACCATTCACTCCTCCCTGCCAGACTTTTTGTAGAGACGGGCTCGTGCTATGTTGCCCAGGCCAGCTCTGAACACCTGAGCTCAAGCGATTCTCCTGCCTCAGTCTCCTGAGTAACTAGGACTACAGGTGAGCACCATCATGCCTGGCCTCTCTGTGGGAGCCTCCTGAACTCAGTGCTTCATCTTCTCTCCCAGCCTAAGCTGGGAATCAGCACAGGTCACAATCATCTGTTGGTCAATGCTGTCTACCCCCCTACTCGGGTTCAAGGGGAAGAGGACAGTCTTCCTTGTTCAGTGGGAGAAGGAGCAGAGATTTTGCAGCCTCTGTAACCCACCAGGCTGGAAACCATTTCTCCTCTCTCCCCAACAGCACAACCCATCCTGTAGCAACTCTTCTGAATTCTACTATGTCCCCAAGCAGGTCCACCTCTGATGGTCACCGCCCCTAGGCTCATTCGAGTCTCAGGACTGTGAGCCTGGGTGACACCATTTCCTCCTGTTCGGCCTCTCTGAATCGGACCCTGTAGTAGTTTATTCTCTGCTGAGCAGTCAGAGCAGACTCACACAGATACATCAGATGATTCACTTAACATTTAAATCTTTTCAGTCGTGGAAGACCAGTCTAGCTCCTTCCTCCAGCCACAGTGTCCTGCGTGACCGGCCCCAGTTTCTCCCAGCCTTCTGCACCTTAGTCCCTCCCTCACTGTAGTCAAGCCACTCAGGTGTTCCTATGTCTCAAGCCTGTACCCGGCCCCAGGGCCTTTGCTCCTGGAGACATCCCCTGGACTGTGGGCATGGCTGCATTTTTCTCATTCCTTAGGTCTCAGCACAGATGCTGCCTCCTTTGTGAGGCCACCATGACACCAAACTACTCCAGGTTCTGACTCTTTGTGCCCATCTTAATAGCACTTCAAGTTTTGGTATGACTTCTTCCTCTCTTTTTTGCTTATTTTAAGTGTCTGTTTCCCCATTAAACTGCAAACTGCACAACAGCAGGACCTGGATTTAGTTGGTTCAACCCTGAACACTGACCACCCAGCACAGAGTCTGGCCCGTAGCTAATACTTAACAAACGTCTGTTGAGTATGTCTTACATTCTTTGAATGAAAAAAATCTGACAGGAGAGCTTGCATGCTGTGACAGCACTACATTCTACCCCTTGGCCTTGTGGCTTGCTTTTTTTGCAACACAATCCAAAGTCCCCAGGGGAGCCCAGTCCATCATGATGGGCCTCAACTTGCTATGACATTAGGCCTGCCCTGGATCTTGGTCTCAGTTCCCAGTACCACTGCTCTGAGCTTGGACTGCTCTAGCTGACCACAGGGGCCACAGAGAACCCCTGGCCTTGGCTGGAGTACTGTTTGTGGCACAAGTATCTGAGTCCCTCAAGTCCAGGGGCCTAGGCAGGGCACCACTGCCCCGCTCACCCTGCAGAGAATGACCTATTCTGGGTGCCCAGGTAGCTGAAGGAGCACTGGAGAGGAAAGGAAGTGGGGGTCCACTCTGCTATATGTCGTTTTTAGATGTCACTGTCCCTTGCTGGCTTCACCTCCCTGTAGAAAGAGAGTATGAGTGGGCCCATAGGGAGCCTGTGGGGACAGGTGGAAAACCAAGGCCCAGAGAGAGCCATGCTGCCTATCGTCCCCATTGGAGGGAGGACAATCATTATGGAGACTCAGGCAATCTGCCTCCTGGGAAGGCTGTAGAGCTCTGGGGAATTTCGCTAGTGTGCCTCACCTGCTGCTTAGTCCTGGCTCTTGGACAAGGCCCCACTCTAGGCAAGAATGAAATAGAGAATGAGTCACCAGAACAGAGGGGGCCATGGAAAAGGAAAGTGGGGTGTCCGGCACTCCCTAGGCCATGCCCTTTTTCTCTCTTTCCTGGCCAAGGAATCCAGTGAGTCACTGAGATGGGCTCAGTGCCAAGCTCCATGATGATGGGAGCTGTTCCTGCCTCCTATGCTCAGACAGACAGACAGACAAGGACAGGCAGATAGCCAAAACTCACAGACAGACATAAGTAGACAGAGTAGACACTAGCACTAGAACTCCTAGTAGACAGATGGACAGAGACAGGGACAGTTTCTAGGCACACAACTAGACATACAACCATGAAGTGTACATACACAGGCCAACACTACACGGACAACCAGTCAGACCCAGGCCAGGCCATTCAGAGAGAACATTCAGACACACAGACACGTGGCAGGCAGACAGGTAAATGTGTAGACAAGCAGACACAGACTGACAAAGGGCCGGCAGACAGCCAAAATGTCGAGACATACTGACACACAGGCAGGTAGTAGATAGATAGGCAAACAGATGGACAAGCAGACACAGACCAATGGCCTATCAATCAAAAATGCCCCAAACACAGCTACATGCACATACAACACACACAGACTCACACAGGCAGCTCATTAGAGGGTGGCTTTGGGCAGTCACAGGGCAGATGCCCCTGGGCCAGCCCTCCTGCCCCATGAGACTGAGCTATAAAAGCAAGCGCCCTACGCATTGTGTTCTGCAGAAGGCAGACGTAACACTGAGCAATTCCGAGGGACCCACCTTGCAGTAAAATGAATGGAAGTTAGATAGGAAAAGGGACTTCTCAACACCTCCCAAGGTGCTGAGACTTGTCCTGGGTGACTAGAGGCGCCTGGGAAGAAAGGAGAATGTTGGTAGTATGTAAGGAGTTCTGGCTGTGTGGCCTCAGGCAATTCTGTTGTTCTGAGCCTCAGTTTCTACTCTAGGTTTTGTCATCTCAGCCCCCCACCGGGAGCAGATGGGCAGCTCTGGGGTGTATGAGTACCAGTGCTGGGCTCTAGAGTATTACCCTCCACCCCCCAAACCAGGGCAGGACCTCCTTGGCGACTCACCCTCAATGCCCCATAGCAGGGGGTACCCCAGACACAAGCGCCTGTTGTCTTGGCTTTTCCTCTGCCAGGGGCTGGCTGGGTGGGGGAGGCTGCTGGGAAGTCAGTGCAAGGGCAAAGAGATCCAGGGCTTCCCTCCAGGTGGCATGTGAACCTCAGGACAGGATGGGGACATCCAGATGTAGTTTCTTTCCTCTTCCCTACCGGTTGAGTCTTCTGGCCAGGGGCCCAACCCTGTGGGAAGAGGACATTGCACAATGAGGAGGTACAAGGTGAGGGCAAGCAGGCCCCAGGGACAGAAGCCCCATTGTTTGGGGTCCAGGCCGGCCTAGGTAAAAGGAGAGTTAGGCCTGAGGCAGGAAGGGGAACTCTGCAGGGGGCGCCAGCTGGCAGGGCTCTTGTTGGGCTCTAGTAAGGGACAGGTGCCAAGCAGGATGCCCTTGACAGAGGGGGTGTGCTCCGCAAAGTGCCTACTGACTGGGGAAGGTAGACTTCACAAGAGGCCGCAGGGTGCACAGACAGCCTCCACACCACACCCACCTCCTGGGGGTGAGCCACCTTGGAGCACATGTGCAGGTTCCTGAATCATTTTCTTTGGAATTCCAGTCATTCCTGGGAGCTGCTGTGGCTTGGGGCAGCCCTCAGCTTGGGGTCACTGGGAAGAGGGTGTGTGGGGTTATTTGTCCTACTAAAAGTCAGATTTTTTGCCCCTGGGACCCTCCCTCTTGGGTCTAAAACTCAGAGCTTGGTTGCCCCATCTCTCCTTCTCGGTAGAGCTCCTCAGCCCCACTCTAAAATCCACTGGGAAGTCCTTCCTAGTATGAGACCACAATCTGCTGACCAGAGACCCAAGGAGGACAAACACGTGATTGTTGTCCTTGGGCTACCCCCTCCCAGCCAGCGGCAAGCCCCAGTCCTGAGCTATGCCGCTGCTACTCCAGGTGCAAAGGAGCCAGCCCCTCCCTCCCTGCAGCTCAGAGGCCGGGGCGGGAGCGGCCTGTGGGGCGGTACAAAAAGCGGTCCCGCCCTGTGTTCCTCACTTGACTCGGTGTCCGGCAGTGGCAGAGCCAGGAGGCGGAGGCGTGCAGGGCAGCCTGGGTCCAGCCCAACCCCTCACCAGGTAGGGACGCTCCCTGCTCAGAGGGCAGAGGGTGTAGATAGAAGGAGCAGAGAGGAGGAGGGGGCAGGCAGAGGGACCAAGACCAATGGCACAGAGAGAGAGGCACAGTGGAGAGGGGTAGAGGGACACAGAAAGGACAGAAGAGGATAGGCTGGAAGGGGGTTATGAAGGCACAAAGTCAAGAGCTGAGGTCAGGGATGACAGAGAGGTGGAGGGACTTGGTACAGGAGTGAAGACCTTGATTTGAAGGAGGGGTGCTGGGTGAGGGCCCAAGAATGTCAAATCCCCATTCTCTTGTCCTTGAAGTCCCTGTGCAGGTCAGGAGGGGTTCCATTTCTTGCCCAGTCCCTCTCTCCCTAATAATTCAGGGAACACGGACTGTGGCACCTGTATCATGTCCTGCTTGGGGACTTAGGATCCCCTTGGGTTTGCAGCTCCAGGATGTATTCAAGGAGCTCTATGCTTGGTATGCCAGGAGTCTCTGGTGCCTACCAACTCTGACCCCTAACCTCTGCCCTCCCTGGGCCCAGGAGGCACCATGTGGGGACGTCCACTGGGGCTGCTGCTGCTGTTGCTACTAGCTGGCCAGGTAACCCCAGGCACCTGGCGGAGTCGCTGGCGCAGGGAGCTGGCACCTGGTCTGCACCTGCGGGGCATCCGGGACGCAGGAGGCCGGTACTGCCAGGAGCAGGACATGTGCTGCCGTGGCCGCTCTGACGACTGTGCCCTGCCCTACTTGGGTGCCACCTGTTACTGTGACCTCTTCTGCAACCGCACCATCTCCGACTGCTGCCCTGACTTCTGGGACTTCTGCCTCGGCGTGCCGCCCCCTTTTCCCCCCATCCAAGGTGGGCACCAAGATGGACAGGAGGGCGGGTCACCTTGTCAAACTCCAGGCTCATCAAGGCACAGGAGCAAGGTTGATGCCTGGACCTTTCCAGGGGAGGCTTTGCAGAATCTGGGGAAGACCATGACCCTCTAGGAAGTCTCTCCTGTGGTGTAATTTGACACTGAAGCACAACTGAGAGTGAGGAGGAGATCCTTGGTTGGGTTTCCAAGTTGGCCCAGGGCAGGGCAGCCAGCCTCCTGCCCTTTCTCCCAGTCCTGACTCCATTCCAGAAGGACATGGAAGGTGCTGGCCCCGCCTGCTGACTCAACCTTGGGCTGATAAAGGGGTTAGCCAGGGTCATCTTAGCTATTTTTCTGCCTCTGCTGAGGATTCCGTACCCGTGAGATGGATCATACCTGAGAAGGGAGTCAAGTCTATCCCTCCACACCCTTTTCCACACTCTTGTCCATGTCTCACAGGACAATCATTGGAATTCCTTCCCATGATTCCTTGGGCTGTTGGGTTAGGAGAGCACATGCCTGAGTTGCTTTCCCTAAGTGCTGTGTTATTAAAAGGGAGTCGCTTACCTTCTCTGGGCCTCAGTTTCCCCATGCCTCATCTCCGGTCTCAACTCATTTAAATGGTAAAGGATCCCTAGAATGCTGTGGCTGCCATCCAGGTGAAGGAAGAGCCATCCAAGTTGGAGTCACTGAGTAATTTCCCATGGAGTGATTGGTGCAGGACCCTGCAGGAAATGGCTGAAGCTGTAGTTTGGCTTTGGTTTTAGGGAGGGATAGGGTTGTTGTGTGTATACAAGTGACTCAGATGACTTCAGGAAGCTTTGGGGTTCCTGACCTCTGAGGACCTGGTCAGCCCATCAACTGGCTGAGTTCCACATCTCTTCCCCTCTTCCTCCCACCAGGATGCATGCATGGGAGCCGAATCTACCCAGTCTATGGAACCTACTGGGATAACTGCAACCGTTGGTGAGTGTATGGGGGGCCCGGATGGGGCTCATCTTGTGGGCCTCATGGTTCAAATTCTATCCCTGCCACCTATGTATGGCGTGTGAGTCCTTTCTCTTTTCTGAGCCTCAATTTCCTCATTGGTAGCATTGGAATTTTAATGTCAACCACGCTACCTCATACAGCAGCATTCTAGCAACATTCCCAGCAGTGGTCAGTTCCCTGCTTGGCCAGCAGTTTCATCTCTTGGCTTGGGCTGGGTCACTGCCCCTTCTAACTGTTCTTGCTATCATGGGAGGTTCAGAAAAGGGGACGCCAGGAAGGAAATCTCTGATGCAGCATCCGCTGCCCCTGGGAGGGCAAGGGTCAGGGATGGCTGAGTTGGCAGCCAGCCAACAGTCCTGCAGCAGGGCCTTCCCTGGAATGTGGCTCTCCTCCCTCCCCACTGCTCCCCCCATTCCTGGCAGGAGGAGAAAGGGGTCATAGGTGCCCCATACTCAGATGGGAAGTAGAGCAGGGTTGGGTAGGATGCCTGGAGGCCTTACTGGAAATAATGGGGTCTCTGGGGCTTGGAGGAGGCCCTGCACCCGCTCCACCCCCACCCCTCTGCCTGGGACTGGGAGGCCCCAGAGAGAAGGAAACTTTTTGGAATGCATTGCGCACACGTTGTTTCCATTGCCTCACAGGGCTGAGGAGAGCCTGGGTCACAGCAAGAGTAGGGACTCAGTTATGCGTGTCGGCATGTGTCTGGGTGAGAGGAGAACATGTGTACATGCAGTGTGTGTGTGCTACGTGTGTGTTCAGAAGGGTGCAATACACCTTTGGGATGATCCTGAAAGGGTGGATGTTGAGGGGTTAACTCTCTCTTCCACTCCTGTCCCAGGCCCCTCTGGAATGCTGGGACCTGCTGCCACCAGCCCTGTCTGGACCTGCTTGGGCAGTCTGGGGCACAGGCAGCGGGGACAGGAAAACCCTAGCCAACCCATGCCCTGCTGGACCCTCTGGACGATTCTGGTGGCTGAGTCCTCTGCACTTCCCACCTGAGAGGATGTAGGACGGTCTGTAGGCCTTCTAGTCTGGTCACACCCTCCATGGATGCTTCCAGAGGGCCCAGAGGCTGCTGCCCAGTGTGCAGAGGGGAAGGAAGGACAGGGTGCCTCCCTGCCCCCACAGACTCCTCCAGCCTTCCCTGAGCACCACCCACTGGCTCCAGGGCTGGAGAGCCAGCCAAATTGGGGCTCGGCTCCCCTTGAGGCTCCTTTTAAGGCGACACTGGAGGCGGGTGCCTGGAAGAAAGCAGCTTAGCATCTTGTAATAGCGGAGTCATGAGCTTGTAAATGGATCAGAGAATGCACAGAATTCAACGCTTGTGTTGACACCTAGGTATTAAAGATCTACTGTGTCCCCTGCACTGGGCTAGGCCCAGGGGCAGCTAGAACTTCATGGACACAGTTCTCGCCCTTCAGGAGCTTCTAATCTCATGGCGATGGGCACAGAACCACAAATGTGTGTGTGTGTGTGTGTGTGTGTGTGTGTGTGCACATGACAAGCTGTTGTGGGCATTATGGGGGAAATCTAGTTAAAGTCGCTTTTTATTTTTGGTGATATTGAAGTTTGAACACAGGGCCTTGCACTTGCTAGGCAGGTGCTCTACCACTTGAGCCTTTCCTCTAGTAGAGATCGTGTTTAGAGTGGGGAGGAGGCCAAGAAAGGGGGAATCCCCTCTGAGGCAGGCACATTTATGATGATACCAGGGAGATGGGTAGAAGATAGGACAAGCAGGCAGGGGCATAGCTGGGGGGGGGGCAAGCTTATCTCAGTGGGAGCTGGGATGGGGGGAGAGGCCAGAGAAGGTGCAGCCATGTCCCCTGGGTCTCTTAAGCTGTGCTGGTAAGTCTGTGTTTTGTTCTGAGTGTCTCGAGTCTGAGGGAAGACACTTGGTCTGACATTGTTCCTGAGTCTCTGACTTCCATGCAGGTGGGGAATGGATGGTTGAGTGGGGTTAGAGAGACCCTAGAAAGGCAGGGAACCTGGTCAGGAAGTCATTGTCCTGGTTCACGTGAGCGGGGACAAGGGATGAGAGTGCGGGTGGTGGCAGTGGAGGGGTGAAAGGCAGATGGGTTCATGATGTGCCATCCCCAGCACCTGCTGGTAGGGGACACATGGGAGATGCCACAGACCCCACAGCACTGGGATCTGAACAGCTGGGTGCTGGTTCTGAGGCCCCGGGCGAAGCAGCCAGGGAAGGCCCCGTGGCTATTTTAAGTTGGAGCTGCCATTATACATCCAGAGGTACGGGAGGTCAGCTGCACATGAGTCTGCAGCTCAGGAGAAGGGGGGCTGGGGTTCCTGTAGTGAGAACAGTAGTTCTGGAGAACAATTCTGAGTGCCCACGATGGGCCAAGCCCTGTACTAAAGGCTTTACAAGCTGGTTATTCAATTCCTGGAAAGCGGAACTGTTACTGTTCTCATTTTCAGACAAGGCCACCGAAGGGAAGTGTAAATAACTTTCCTAAGGTCACATGACTAGTCTACCAGGATGGAAACCCAGGATTTGAACTCCAGAATTCATGTTCTTAGCCCCTTCATTCTACTGCTCGGTCATTCATTCACTTAACAAATATCTATTGAGTGCTCATTATGCTATGTGCTAGGTTTTGTTTTCCTAGGTGTTAAAGATACCAGACAATATCTGCCCTGGAGAATCTTAGAGTCTCTAAGAAAGTAGGTATAAGCACTATATATCACTGCAGTATGTCAGGTAGCGATGGTGCACTCAGGAAGGCAGGGAAGTAAGACGGAAGTGTGGAGAGGTTGAATTTTAAGATAATGGCCAGAGGAGGCCTCCCTGAGAATGCAGTCTTGGAAGAAATAAGAGTGTGCCATGGAGATGTGGGAGGGACAGCAGCATAAAGCCCTGGGGTAAGAGTGTGACTGGTATGAATAATCAGCCTAGTGGAGCCTTGAAAACCAGGATTAGAAAGAAGAGGGGAATCAGAGAGGGGACAGGAGGACAGGCCACACAAGCCCTGTGGTCACGTCAAGGACTTTGGCTCTTAATTCTGTGATGTGACGCCAATGGAGGGTTTGGGACAGAGGAGTGACATGATATGACTTAGGTTCAGCAGGATTGCTGTGGCAGCTGTTAAAAATATCCTGGGGTCAGGGACGTGGGGTGACACAGGGCAGATTTCGGAACAATGAGGAAAGTGCATCAGTAATTCAGGTAAAAGGTGATTGGACTGAGGTGGCTGCAGGAAAGAATGAGGCACGGTTTGGATTCTGGGTGTGTTTTTAAGGTAGATCCAACAGGACTTTATGATGAGCTCAGCATATGAGTGAAGTCAAGGGTGATTCCAGGGCCTGACCTCCAGGAAGGACAGAGTTGCCATTTTAGTTTAGTTTACTTTTAATTTTTGGCAATATTGGAGTTTGAACTCAGGGCCTTACACTTGCCAAGCAGGAGCTCTACTATGTGCCACACCTCCAGCCCCGTTAGTTATTTTTTGAAAAGGGTCTTCCATTTATGCCTGGACTGTGATCCTCCTATTTACGTCCTATGAAGCTGGGATGACAGGCTCACACCATCACACCCAGTTTTTATTGATTGAGATGGGGTCTTATAAACTTTTCATTCAGCCTTGAACCAAGATCTCCTGATCTCTACCCCTGTGTAGCTAGATTAAAGGCATCAGTCACCACTTCCGGCTAGAGTTGCAATTTTATGAGAACAAAATGAGATCAGAAATTTGGTTTGGGATGTACTAAGTCTGACCTGTTGTTAGATATGCCTCCCCCCCATGGGGGGGAGGTAGCAGCAAAACCCTTGACTTGAGTTCAGACAGCGATCTAGGTGGTGGAGAGGAACTTGAGTTGACATTGAAAGCCACCAGGTTGGGTGGGCCCATCAAGGGCTGTTTTCCCACAGTGGCTTAGTTGATCCTAAGTCCGTGTTGATCTCTGAGGCCTCATCTCTTCCAAAGGTCCCCAGCTCCTACTCACGCCTTCCTTCCCTTCTTTTCTCTCCAGCACCTGCCAGGAGAAAGGGCAGTGGGAGTGTGACCAGGAGCCATGCCTCGTGGACCCAGACATGATCAATGCCATCAACCAGGGCAATTATGGGTGAGAGGCACTGGATGTAGCCCCTGAGGGCACAGGAGCACACACACTCTCTCTCTCTCTCTCTCTCTCTCTCTCTCTCTCTCTCTCTCTCTCTCTCTCTCTCTCTCTCTCATCATTGCCAGGCATGCACATGCACTCAGATTTTATTCCTGGATGCACTTAGCCACTATACATATAGCCGCAGGGTCCCTAACATTAGCAGATCTGTGACTTTCCTCCACCCTGTCTCTCCTTCAGGTGGCAGGCTGGGAACCACAGTGCCTTCTGGGGCATGACCCTTGATGAAGGCATTCGCTACCGCCTGGGCACTGTCCGCCCTTCCTCCTCTGTCATGAACATGAATGAGATTTATGTAAGTATCTTTGACCACAGCCCCTCCACCTCCCATGGCTTAGGATGTCAGGGACATGGGCACTTTTGCCTTGCTCCTCCAAAGGCTAGACCAATCCTCAACCAAGAGGCTGTTTGTCCCTGGCAGGGCATTCCCCTCTCTGGGTCTTTGTTGCTACACTGGCTGTGCTGAGCTCAGATTCTGAGCTGTGTGGTCCCAGCCTCTTGCCTCTGCAGCCTGGGAAAAATACTGTTGGTCTCAGTACAGAAGGGTCAGGGCCCAAGAGGTCAGGAGGTCACCCTGGTATTTTAGGAAAGAGAGCACTCTTCCAGCTCTGACCAGAGAGTAGCAATTCTTGGAACAAATGTTGACTCAGCGGAACCCCTAGGGAATAGGGGCTTCTCCCTCCCCACCAATGGGGACCCTCTGGGGAGAGAAATGGGAACCAGACCCAAACATCAAAGAGTGAGGAAGCCAAGCTTCACGCGGTGGGACAGGGCTGGCTCACATGTTGGGGGATCTGGCTGTCAGCAGAGGGTGTGAGGAGGCATGGGCTGGCCCTCTGTGCATAGGGACTGCAGCCCGAGGCTGAGGTGACCAGCCCCTGCCCTTATTCTCCTGAGGCTCTGGCTATTTTCTGCCTTTTGCTGTTTGTCTTGGCAGTCTGCCTGGTCACAGGACCTTACTGCTTCTTCCCTCCCTTGCCCTTTGGGGCCTGAAGGCCAAGGCCCTGATGGGAAGGAGGGTGTGGCAGATCTAAAGGTACAGAGGAAAGAGCCAGGTGGTGGAACTGGGGGCATTGGGGGCATGGCTCAAATGATGGAGTGCTTGCCCAGCAAGACTGAGGCTCTGAGTTCAAACCTCAATACCACAAAAAAAAAACAGCTCCCTGCTCCTGGCCTCAGGTGCCCCATCTGTAAAATAGGACTGTCATCCTGACCTGGTATTTGGGAGGCACTAAATGATGCTTGGTTCTTCCACTCAAGTCCAAGTTGGAGGTAGCTGGAATCACGCAGCAGCAGGAGGACTCCAGATCCAACTGCTGAAAGCCCTGGATTCCTGAGGGGCCCCCAGGCCAGGGCGGGAGGCAAATGAGGGCACCTTTGCCTTACAGACGGTTCTGGGCCCAGGGGAAGTGCTGCCTACTGCCTTCGAGGCTTCTGAGAAGTGGCCCAACCTGATCCACGAGCCACTCGACCAAGGCAATTGTGCTGGATCCTGGGCCTTCTCCACAGCAGGTGTGTCCAGGGGGAGGGAACAGCGATGTTAGGGCAGGGGCCAAGAGGTGGCCCCTGACAGCCCCTCTGCCTTCTCCACTCTAGCTGTGGCATCTGATCGTGTCTCCATCCATTCTCTGGGACATATGACACCTGTCCTGTCCCCTCAGAACCTGCTGTCTTGTGACACCCACCATCAGCAGGGCTGCCGTGGTGGACGTCTTGATGGTGCCTGGTGGTTCCTGCGACGTCGAGGGTATGCAGTGAGGGGAGGGGGTGTGTGTGTGCAGGGAGGTGGGCCAGGTACCCTGTGGGCAGGATCTGGGCCATTTGTCACCGTGTCACTGCTCTTGTACCCTTCTGCTACTCTCCAGGGTTGTGTCTGACAACTGCTACCCGTTCTCTGGCCGCGAACAGGATGAGGCTCACTCCACACCTCAATGCATGATGCACAGCAGGGCCATGGGGCGGGGCAAGCGGCAGGCCACCACCCACTGCCCCAATAGTCAGGTTGATGCCAATGACATCTACCAGGTCACTCCTGCCTACCGCCTGGGCTCCAATGTAAGCCCGCACTCAGGGGAGGGCAGAGGCAGGGGATGAGGGTTGGCCAAAGACTGAAGCCTCACCTTGGCCCATCCCCCTTCAGGAGACAGAGATCATGAAGGAACTGATGGAGAACGGCCCTGTCCAAGGTAAATGCCCCTATCCACTACCCTTGGCTCCAGAAGCTTGTGCTTGCTCAAGGCTGGCACAGTAGCCTTGAGCAGCAAATCCAGTGGGGCTTGGAGTGGAGGGTCCATGTCCTCTTCCTGCAGGAAGCCCCTGGAAGGGGTCTTCATCTTGTGGAGTCAGGTCCTATGAGCTAATGGGCTAAGCCGCCCTACCTTGACCTCTGCCCACAGCACTCCTGGAAGTACACGAGGACTTCTTCCTGTACCAGGGGGGTATCTACCGACACACACCTGTGAGCCTGGGGAGGCCAGAGCAGTACCGCCGACATGGGACCCACTCAGTCAAGATCACAGGGTGAGGGGCTTGTGGGCTCATGGACTGGGGAAAGTGAGGTTCCTACAGGGGACGCTCAAATCTGTTTCAAATCTTTATGATCCCTAGGAAGCCAGGACCACCCCTCCCCTTTCCAAAGGAGGAAACTGAGACTCAGAAAGAGAAGGGGCTGGCCCTGATCACATTTCTAGGAGTAATTTCTTTTACGTACGGGGCTAAAATAACCCCAGGGCAATAGAAGTGAGGGTTTTCATTGATTTCAGAAGTCAGTGAAGTGTCCAACCAGTGAAATATGCTTTGCAATGGAAGTTTGGGGTCTCCACCGTACCCACATTTGCTGGATCTTTTCCTCTGGTCACTGACTCCCCAAGTGAGGGAGGACAGTCAGATGTGTGAGGTCCCACAGAACTGCTCCCAGGATGTGGGGCCCTAGAGAACCAGGCTCAAGTTCCACCTTCTGCCTGTCACTCCCCTTATACCCTTGGTGCCTTTCCCCCATGCTGGGCTTGGGGCCACAGGCTAACAGATGTGGGGACTGAGGAGATAACAGAAAGGGACAGAGACTGTCCAAGTCCTACAGTGCACCCAATTTTCCAGAGGCAACAGGGGGTGGCATGGGACACTTGGGGTTCCAGCCCCTGGGAGCAGGTGCAATCAAGCGTTTTTCTCCCTCTCTCCCTCCCTCTGCCCCTAGGTGGGGAGAGGAGACGCTGCCTGATGGAAGGACGCTCAAATACTGGGTGAGTCCCTCCGTGTGCTCAAAGCCACTGTCTCCTTTCCCCTTTTCCTTTCTTCCCCTCCACCCACTCCCATTCTTACCACAAATCCTTTTCATCCCCAGACGGCAGCCAACTCTTGGGGCCCATCCTGGGGCGAGAGGGGTCACTTTCGTATCATGCGCGGTACCAACGAGTGCGACATTGAAAGCTTCGTGCTTGGCGTCTGGGGCCGCGTGGGCATGGAGGACATGGGTCATCGCGGAGATCGCCGGCACTAGGCCAGGCCCGGCCCGGGTCCCAGCGAGCGCAGGGCAGGCAAGCGGGAGAGCCCTCAGGGGCAGCACCCTGCTCCATGGAGTCGGGGGTGCAGGCAGGCGCCAGACTCTAATCCCCACGCGGATCCATCTGCTGACACAGCGCCCAGCCTGGGAGCCCGCGGGCGGGCGAGGCTGGCGGAGCCTCTAGACTTCCCTGCGGGTCGGGGCAGGGTCTGACCGGGGAGCAGCGGGGGCCTATATACATCCCAGGCCCCTGGCATCCAGCCCAAGACCATGGAAGCCAGGACATTCCCAATCTCCAGCCCCACTACCTTACCCTACCCCACTCCTGTATTCTTATTCTTCAAAGATATTTATTTTTCTCTTTTCACTGTTTTAAAATAAAAAACAAAATATTGATAACTACAGTGTCTTGGACTCTGTGGGCATGGAGAGCCAGGCTAGAACTGAGGTTGCTAGTGACTAGACAGCAGAAAGGACTGCCTGAGCCCTAGGCAGGAGCGGTGGAGAAATCTTAGCCTCCCTTCAGTCCTAGTTGTCAGTGCACAGCCACTGGAGGGGGGGCACAGATGGCATAGCCTTTGGCCCCCTGTGAATGTGGGCCGTGGGAACCACTTTGCAGACGCTGGCTCAGCACTGGCTGGAGGGGGTGGGGCAGCCCACCAATCAGCAGAACTGGCTCCAGGGCCAGCAGGCAAGGGGGGCCATCCCACAGTGCTGGGACCTCCTCTCTACAGATCAGCCTCTCCCAGCAACCCAGCAAGGGGCCCTCACCTTCTCCTTCTCCAAGGCCAGGATGGCCCTGCCTGGGAGCCCCTCCCCACCGCACTGCGCCAGGCTCCCAGTGCCAGCAAGATTAGCCCAGACTTCAGCCTGGCTGGCAAGGCCCTGGGCACCTGTCCAACCAGCCTCTTCACCAGCTTCTACACCTGATTCTGGGCAGCTCTGGAGTTGTCACTGCTCCTCAAATGGCCAGGACACACATAGACCACCAGGCATTGGCACATGCACATGCTAGTTTCCAGTTCAGATGCCCTTCTGTGCCACCCACTGCTGCCCACGCCTATTTCAAAGCCAGCAGCAAGGTTCCCTTATTCACACAGGACCTGTGGCGGGCGCAGATATGCCAGGCACTGTGCAAGGGACTCACACTCTCCAAACCACCCCACCCCTCAGGTGGGTTGGACACCCCCTCTCTAGCAGCCAAGCTCACCTGCTGACTGCCCTTGCACCCAGTATTTGGCTTGTCTAGTGTCTATAGACCTTGCCCATTGTGCTGGGAGCTCCTTGAGGGCACGGATTGGGTTTGGCTCATTAGCAGGTTCTGGTGCCCACATGGGTACCCTCCTATACTGTGGCATGCCAGTTTGTGGGATGACTGAGTGACTATGACACACTCTTTCACCTCCACTTCCATCCCAACATCCAGGCCACCCAGAGTCCCTCTAAGCCAGGAGGAAGGAGTCCTGCCCTTTCCTGGAGCCCAGGGGCTGAGCCTGGGATGGAGGCTGGCCTGTCCCCTCAAACAGTCAGAAAAGGAAGGGGTAGCGAGTCATTGCCTCACTGCGGGCAGGCAGGGAGGTCCTCCTGGAGGCCCTGCCAGCCCCTCTGATCAGCTAAGTTCCCAAGGCACGGGGCATCACCTCAAAGGAATTCGGGACTGCTGATAAGCCGCTGCCTTTGTCTCCTTTCCTGTTTGCCAGAATGTCCCGAGCCGGATCCTCTGGCCCGCCCACCAGTCCCCAAGGAGCCATGGCCAGCTGGTGGCCTTGGGACAACGCCTTGAGGAGGGGCGCAGGGCCGGCCCTTCTGCAGCTTGGGCCTTCGGACGCACCCTACTGGAAAAAACCGTTCTGAGCCACGCGGCCAGGGCGAGGCTGGAATTTTCTACAGGGACCTTCGGGCGGAAGCTGCGGGGGGCAGGGAAGGGAGGGGAGCGAGGGTGCGGCTGGGCCTGGAGACTGAGGCTCCTGCTCTGCCCTGCAGATTCACGCGGGCTCTGCCCAGCTCTGCCTTAGCCTGTGCCTGGACTGGGAGAGGGCGGGGTTGGAAATGGCCTTGCTGGTTCTTTCATTCTTTGATGCTGATAAGAGTGTATTATTACAGAGTGGAGCAAACCTGAATTGCTCCCAACCAGATTCCTGTCCTTAAATCTGCTTACAAAGAAATCCTGGCTCCCCAGACCTTTGCTGTGTGTCCTGGGGCTAATCCCTTTCCTTCTCTGAGCTAAGGATTTCAGACAGAGGTGGGTTCCAAACCCCTGCTCTCTGTGATCCACACTGGCTCTGTGAAGTATCAGACAGGTCTGGCCATCTTTAATGAGGATGGCAGGGTTGGGGGGAGGATTAGACGAAAGCATGCTAAGCATTTAGCGCATTGCTGGAGACTTAGTAAGGGCGCTATAAAATTTAAGGGGTTGGACTTGGTCATGTAGAAGGCTTTGCATAATGAGCTAAATGTTTATTGAATACTTTGTCCACAGGTTTCTGCCAACACAGCATTCTGAATACTTTGCATATATGATCTCCTTTCAGTCTTGAAAAAAAATTTATTTTGCATATAAGGGAACAGAAGCTGAGAAAAAGTAATAAATTAATGAAAGTAATGTGGTTAATAAGTGGTTGAGAAAGAATTCAAACCCAAGACATAGAATTGCTCATAGTTACCAACTCTGTACCAGTAACAGTGGCTAAGATTGCTAGTGTACCCCTCCCTAAGCCCTTTCCCTGCCTGGCAAACTCTTATTCATCCTATAAAACCTGGTTCAAATATCCTGCCTCTAGAAAGCCTCCATTGGCACCTATCTTCTGGCTCTCCAGGGATACCCCTGGCATAGAGGGACATCAGCTGACAAGTTTTCCCACAAGCGGGTAGAGCAGGATTGGTTTTTCTCAGCCCATCCATTTCTAGCTACCAAATACTTACTTGAGTGTTCATTCTGGTCCCCCGTGGGGCTCCATGGGCTCCTGAAGCACCTGACTCTAATCTCCCAGGGCTGCTAAGTTGTATCACTTCATGAACGCTGATGCCTCACATCTTCCTGATAGCTTGCCAAACTGCATCCCTGCCCAGTGTCCATTAAGGGAAAGGAATGTTTGCCTCCTGAGCTGCAGTGAGCCAGGCCTGGGACTGGGCTGCTTCACACTAGCTCACTGCATCCTACCCACCCCGGTGAGGAGGTCTACCTCTAGACACCAACACCAGGCCACAGGTGACGCCAAGAATCCAGGAGAGGTGAGCTTCCAAAGTGTGAGGAGGGCTAGCAGGTCCACTCACAGCTGGAACTAAGGACCCTGCTCCTGACAGGGACCTCTGTCTCTGTCTCTCCCTGTCTGTCTGTCTACCTCTATCTCTCTTTTCTTCCTTTCTCTCTAGATTAATCTGCTATGAGGAAGGGCACGTGGCCAATGAGGACTCCTGAGCAGTCAGCCCACAGTCATTTGCTGGGAAGTCTTCTGACTGGGTTGGCTGTAGTCCAGTTTCCACCTGCAGACCAGTCAACTATGGCCAAGGAGAAGGGTCATGGAGGCCATGACAGCCCTTGAAGAATGAGCATTTGGGACAGGAGGAGATCCCCAGACAGAGAGGGCTGCTATTCCCAGGGAAAGGAGAAATGCTGGACAGAGGACAGAAATGTGTCCCCAACAGCAATGGCTGACTATCACCCCCATTTGAGCAGTAAGGGGACAGAGGTTCTGGGAGCAGTGTGGCTTGTCAGGTCACACAGCCAGTAAGTGGTGGAGCCAAATACAGACCATACTGCCTGCCATTGAACTTGGACATCCAATTCAGGGAGATGGATAAGTGAGCGAGTCCTCCTCTAGCTTCTCCCAGATAACTTTCTCCTGGGCCCTGGAGGATATATTTTCTAGAATTCTACACAAATAGTGAAAACACTGTGGCTGTGACACCAACAGCAAAGGCAATCCTCTCCCAATGCAAAACAAGACTGAGGTTTTCCAGCGGGGCATCCTGGTTCCTGTTCCGGGGACTCCCGTGTGGTGCCCATGATGGGACAGGATAAGGCTATAACCAGAGCATGCCAGTTTGTCTATCAGAGAGAAGGGTGTCAGGTGAACCATCCTGAAGACAAGCACTGTGGGTAAGGACTGCTCCTCCCCTCTTTACAGGGAGGAAACTGAGGCTGGGGTGGGCCTGGGAGAGGGTAAAGTGACTTTGCCCAAGGTCACCTTACTTGGAAAGAGTGGGTGCAATGTTGTAACATATTTTTTTTTTGCTTTTTTCTATGGTTCCTGGCTCATAAATCCTTCCTCAAGGGACCATAAAAACTAAACTTCTTCCCTGAGGTGGGCCATTAGAAACTTAGATCTTCCCTCACTTTTCTGTCTTGGACCTGGTGTAAAGAAATCCTCTGACCTCCCCTCAACTGATAGGACCCTCCTCATTCCACAGTGCTCCTGCCCCAAGTGCTGCAGGGAAGAAGGCTACACCGAGAGGCCCAGAAGAAGGCACAGCAGCCAGGCCCTGCTGGCTCTCCCCACCTCGTCTACCAGCATTAGCTGTGCAATGAAGTCTCTATAAAACCCAAAAGGATGGGGCTCTGGGAGCGTCCCCATGGGAGAGCTGAGCGTTCGGAGGCTCCTGGAGAGGGGCCCCTTCTTGTTTTTGTCACACTCTGCCTCTCCTCATCGGAGTCCTCTGCAGTCTCCTTCATGACAAGCCAGTAAGAGCAAGTGTTCTGGTTTCTGTGAGCCTATTGCACAAATTAATTGAATGTGGGGGGGGGCGTGGGAACCCTGATTTGCAGCCTGCTGAGGAGAACCACAGGTACAACAACCTGGGGCTGGCATCTGGCATCTGAAGTGGGAGATGACAGCCTTGGGACTGAGCTATAACCTGTGGATGTAACATAACTTCTGGTATCAAGGTCAGATTGAATTAGAGGACATGCTGCTGGGCTGCTGCAGAAGGACGTGCTTGCTGTTGGGGAGAATCCCCTACATCTTAGACCACCAGTCTGTACCTCTCACCAGGATGTTGTGCCCCAGCCTGGCAAGGATAAGCTCTGAGTTTGAGGGTCTGTCCACCTGTGTCACTGTCTCTTTTCATGCCTCCCTTTGATCTGCCCCTTGTTCCACAGAAGGCCTCTCGCTCAGCGCCAGACAGATCCAAGTTTGAGTCCCAGCTCCAGTGGACTCCTTGAAGCTCATTTTCTACCCTGAACTTCAGCTTCCCAGTCTGTAAGATGGGAGCAGAATTTCTGTTATTTCTGTATGGGAGCAGCTGTAGGCTGAGGAACGTCCCCAAAATGAGGAAAGAGATGACTACAAACAGTAGCTAAAGGATGAGAGCAGAGACTTGC